AACCTATGGGAACCTTTCAGCAAGGCATGCCATCTCCAGCAATGCTGCCTGCTGAATGGCCCATAGTGATTGTTGACATCAAGGACTGTTTTTTCCACATTTATTTAAATCCTGTGGATACTCCAAAATTTGCCTTTTCTGTACCATCCCTTAATTGCAGCCAACCCCACCAGAGGTACCAATGGAAAGTGTTGCCACAAGGGATGAAAAATTCCCCAACACTTTGCCAACTTTTTGTATCCCAGGTACTTCTGCCAATTCGGACTCATTTTCCAAAATCAATCATCCTACACTATATGGATGATATCCTAATTTGTGCAAAATCGGAATCAGACACCAAATTGACACTCAATGCTGTTATCTCGGCTCTAAATTCAAATGGCATGCAAGTTGCACCTGAAAAAATACAGACCTCGACTCCTTGGAAATATTTAGGACTCCAAATTACTAATTCGGCAATAACACCGAATAATTACAGTCAGAACTAATATAAAAACTTTAAATGATTTGCAAAAACTTTTGGGTGCAATTAACTGGATAAGACCAATTTTGGGTATCACCACACAGGAGTTAGACCCTCTTTTTAATTTATTAAAAAGAGATTCTGCCTTGTCTTCCCCTAGAACCCTCACACCACAAGCCAGACATGCCTTACAATTCATTGAATGTAAGTTATCAGACAGACAGTGTAACCGAATGTTGCTAATGTACCTGTTTCTTTAATTATTGTATTGAATTCTTTTCAACCTTTTGCCATCCTTGGACAATTTTTTTCTAATAAAACTAATTTCTGTTTGTGGGAATGGCTGTTCCTCCCACATCAATTTTCCAAAACCCTTACCACCCTTCCCGAGATGATTTCTATGCTGTGTTTTAAAGGTCGTTCTCGTTGTGTTGATCTTTCAGGCAAAGATCCGGATGTTATTTATCTCCCTTTAACCTCTTTGCTTTTTGATCAATTACTTAAGTCCTCTCTAGACTTTCAGGTAGCTACGGCTGGTTACCAAGGGGAATTTAAACTGCACTTACATGCTTGTCCTTTTCTACAGAGACTTTTACCAATACCAATACAGCTAAAGATTCTGCTTTCCCCAATTCCACTGAAAGACGCTAAAGACATTTTTACAGATGGCTCAGGAAGGACAGGAAATGCTGTTGTCGTATGGAGAGAAGGTGACGGAAACAAGACATCCACAAAACATCTGGATCGGCTCAGCTAGTAGAACTCTCTGCTGTTGTTCGAGTTTTTGTTCTCTTCCCCTCAGAACCTATCAATATTATTTCTGATTCTTCCTATGTTGTTGGTATTGTTTCGAGAATTGAGAATTCTTATTTGAAGTATGTGTCTAACCAATTACTTTTCAAATTACTTAATTCTCTTCTTTTTTATATCAATCACAGACGACATCCATATTTTATCACTCATACGTGCTCTCATACCACGCTGCCTGGACCAGTGGCTCAAGGTAACCGCCGCGCGGATACACTAGCAGGTATCTCGGTAATTCCAAATTTGTTACAGCAAGCATGACTGTCTCATGAATTTTTTCACCAGAATGCTAAATCTTTACATAAACAATTCGGCATTACACTCAATCGGGCAAAAGACATTATAAAGGGTTGCCCTGACTGTCAAGCAGTAGCTCTTCTAAAATCAGAGGACGTAAATCCCAGAGGTCTTGAGCCTCTGCAAATTTGGCAGACTGATGTTACACATTTAAATGAATTCGGCAAACTAAAATTTATCCATGTTTCCGTGGATACCTTCTCAAAATTCATTTAGGCTACTGCCCATTCTGGGGAAAAAATTTGAGACGTGAAGAGACATTTCCTTGCTGCTTTTGCACGTATGGGGGTTCCTCATACCATCAAAACAGACAATGGACCCTCACACGTTGCAAAAGAAACAGCAAAATTCTTCTCTGATTGGGGAATTACTTACATAACTGGCATCCCCCATAATCCCACTGGTCAGGCTATAGTGGAGAGAGCACACCAATCCTTAAAAAATTTAATCAAAAAACAAAAAGGGGGAACCATGGGAATGTCCCCTCAAGAAAAATTAGACAAAGCTACCTATGTTTTAAATTTTTTAAACAGGTTTGAAGATTGTAACACCCCTTATTTTAGAACACCAACTGAAAAACATTTTAAGTTTAATTCTGATGCCTCTTCTGTTAAACCAAAAATAATGTACAGAGATGTTCTAACTGAAAAGTGGGCAGGACCTTTCCCTCTAATCACTTGGGGAAAAGGTCATGCATGTATTCTGACAGATACAGGAACGCGATGGGTACCATTAAAGACAGTACGTATTCATCAGGACAAGGCACAAGCTTCTTCTCGTCAAGAGGACACAGTGTCATCAGTGTCATCGCCATAATGTTGCTGGTCATGGAGTAGGTTGTGTGTCCCCCTTCAGCGAAGATGCCACCTTGGTCCATGGGACAAGGGGAAAACATCTGGGTGCAGGTAGCAAAAGAAGCCAATACCGACACCATTTGCCTGGCCACAAATAATGTTGCTAATCCGTTTTCCACATGTTTAGTTGGAGTTCCTTTAAGTAAGAAAATGTTAGATGCTTATAAAAATCCACCAAAAACAAATAAGCCCATAATTGAATTCAAATTACTAGGCACAGCTACAACAAGCTCGTGCATGACATTTGTACCGAAGGCCAATGTCTCTAAAAACAAATTACTAGATGTTACCTCAAAAAAGGGCATCTATCAAAACACAGCACTATGGTGTAATGGCACCACACCAACAAAAATTTTGGTAGGACCTATGACACATCCAAGAGAATTACACCCTGGAGATTTTCTAATTTGCGGTGAGAGGGCATGGAATGGAATCCCAGCTAATCCCACGGGAGGTCCATGCACAATAGGAAAAATCACTCTGTTCCATCCATTTAATTTTAGCATACCCGGAGAAGTAAAATCAAAAATTGTCCAGCCTGGTATGCGCACTAAAACCAGAAGACAAATTATGACCTCCTCGGCAGCGGAAATTATCAGAAGGGAGAAAGAGAAATATCCGCTTGCCTGGGACTCCTATCCACACAAATCCAACACCTATCTCTCATCCGAACAAAAGACAAATGCCGCTACTCCCATAACAGCAATCAATGGCAATAACAGTCCTTTAGCATTTCCTAACTCTCTCACACACCTTCAATTGTCAAATTTTCAAATCAGTTTTGGTAATTCGGATATTAGCAACTCTAAATTCCCAATATTACAAACTAAGGAAATGCAAGAGCCATCCAATCCAACATCATCTTCACTGAAGGACTACTTACCCGTATCTCAAAACTGTAATCCTTCAGTATGGCTGTGGCCTAGCAGTAAGGATTTTTGGATATCATTCTTTGCTGCAGGCATAGCATCTGATCATGCACTTACCACCTTAAGCCACATGACCTGCTGGATGGCGAAGGAAGCTAATGCCACCTCGCTCACACTGCAAGGATTATTAGAAGACACACTAACATTGAAGGGAGTTTCTTTACATAATCATGCGGCTATAGATTTTTTACTGGTCCTACATAATCATGGATGTCTAGAATTCACTGACCTGTGCTGTCTAAATTTTTCAGATCATTCAAAATCAATGCAGGCAAACATCAATACAATACACGAATTAGTCTCTAAATTAAGGCAAGATCCCAAATGGTACACTCCAGACATATTCGAAGGTCTGAAGTGGCCTTCACTTCCAAATTGGGCGAGGCAAATACTTTTGGTTTGTGTTTCAATTCTAATTTCAATCATAGTTGTGTTATGTTTAATGTCATGTTTAGTTACTATTTTCAAAAGGTACTGTCTTCCAAAAGGTAATGTTGCACAAGTACAAACAAGCCCACCGGACTATGAGACCATCTACGTTCAAAAAGATAAAAAAGGGGGAGATGCGGAGGCACAGAGAAGAAAGGATTTTTACCGATGGAAAGAAGCCTACAAGAAATACTAAAACGACTCTCTATTTATTGCCACGGACATGGGCTTTATTTATCCATATATTTATGGACAGTTTTAATAGTATTTAACGTATTTATTATTTATTATAAGAGTTACATTTATATTATAAGATTTTATTCCCCTCACGAATTGCAAGTTTCTGATTGGTTGAAAATCGGTTAGCTACGATAGGTCAGCTAGTGCCGCAGCTTAGGCGGGCATAGCTGAGGCAACTTGTTATCTTATTGGTTATTAGTATGGCGCGCTATGGTTGTAAGGTTCTTATTGGTTGTACCCCTTGTCGTTCATGGAACTCCTCCCTTTGTTCTAGTCCCTTCTTCCCTAAACCTATAAAAACCTCTGTTCTCCCTCGGGGGGAGAGCGACATTTTGTCCCCAGAGGGTGTCGCAGCTTCCCGGGAGCCCCATTATTTTTCCCTGGAAGTATCCCAACTGCTAATAAATTAACAACAATTCATCGAACCCTCGTGTCGCTCATCTCCTCCTCCGCTCTCGGGCTGCGACAGTTCAGGTTTCTGTGAAACTGTAAAAAGCTAGCAGAGGCTTCAGTATGCAACTCCAGGTACTGACATCAAGTTCCCAAGCCCTTCGAGAAAATTCTCCTTTTTGGGCCATTTTTGCAACTACTTTCCTCCCCTTGCTAGTCCTCCTCCTCACAGTCCTGGGACCATTCCAGTTCAAAACTTGCTCCCACGGAATTCAAGGGGCACTGACTCAGTTTAGGGCAGTGCTGTGGCCGGTGTACCATGAAGTGCAGGGCAGCTGCGTGAAGCTGCAAAGTCCCTGGAAAGGTGTTTTCTCCTATGATGACTACTGAGGTACCCCAGGAGGGATGATGGATGTACTCTCTGGGAGGAAAGCCACAGCACAGGTTGTAGCAGCACGCTCTGTCTAAGTGGAGATACAGCAGCTCAAAATTTGTCTTACAAGTTTATCCTCAACAAAGAGAGTCGCCTGATCATTGGCAAGATCAACTGAAGGAGGTCTGCTGGTTTTAGTGTTGAAGAATGCTGAGACCAGCTTGACCAAACCCTCAGACCCCGCCACGAGGACATGCAAGATAGAGGCTCCCTGACTGAGGCTGGGAGCAGCAAGGACGTGCAGGCCCTGATACAAAACTGAGAGTCATGAGCGTTGAGCAGAAGAAACTAGAGAGTTGCTAACACCTTTGTCAACAACAAAACATATTTGCTGACTAAGGTGACAACCCATAATCTAAAAAAATATATATGACTGACAGTCAATCACTTTATATTTTAAAAGCCCAAACTTTTTAATGGTAGGGTCTCCTAACAAACTCTTTCTCAGAGTATGTGTAACAATTTCTCCCTTGAGTGGGGATGCCCCTCAAGGTTACTCCTCAAGGCTGAGCAAAAGAGATTTGCCCCTGGTCATTGCTATGGTAACACCAACCTCTACTTAATAATTGTTTTGCTAGCTTTAATATAATTACTTCAATTGTTTTATTACAATTACTTCAGTATCGCTTAAAAAATAGTGCACTATATTGATAGTTATAGCTATCCATATATAGTAATTCTGACAAAAACTCTTTTTTCCAAATCACTATCATTATTGTAACCATTTCAATAAATCATTCCTTTTATTTGTATAAACACATTTGGTTTGCCATCCTTAATCCTGCAGGATAAAGCTGTATAAAGGCAGACATAAACCACTGAAAAGTCTGGGTCTAAGAGTGGATCCAGGTGTATGTAGGATCCTCTCTGAGGAGGAGTTTAGAAAGCAATGGGCTTCTTTCCTCACCTCGTAACTCAACGAGAGGGCTTCTCTAATAATAAACTTTATCTAATAAACTTTGAAGCTCCCACTCTGCCCGTGGCAGAGATGCTGAAAACCCACTGTTGTCTCAGGTACCTCAGGGCCCACAGCAGCTGCGGGCAAGCCCTTCACACCTGCGTTTCACCCCTTGGAAGACGTGCTGGAGAAGCCTGCTGACTGCAGGTCCTGCACACACGGCTTACTTTACACCCTCCTCCCATCAGAAACTTGATCCAGGGACAATTTCTGGGCACAAAAAGTACACATTTAAGGAGGGATGGCAGTCAGACTTGGCTTGCTTTGTAAATAAACACCAGGGGTGTGTAATGCGATAGCACGTATACTTGGCTCCAGCTGGGCTGTTTCTCTATAGCGTGTTGTTTTGGTGTTCTGGACCAGAAATCTGTAGGTTTGTTTTTGTACCAGCGACTCGACCACTAAACTGCTTAACCTTCTCCGCAGTCAGCGTCTCGGAAAAGCCAAACACAAGCAACTCAAACTGCATGAAAACATGAGCTGCAGACTGGCGTGAAAGCCAAAAGAAAACTATAATTTACTGGAAGGGAAGGTCCTCTTTAAATTTACAGAAAAGGGCATATATAGAAATCTAACAAAAGCATGTAATGATTGTCTGGCTGAGACCAGGGGATACTGCTGCGAGAAGTGGTGATGTGGATCAGCCATCAAATGTTAAACACAGTTTGTCTTGGTCAGGTCATAATCCCACTTCCTTGCTGAGGAGCATCTCTTCTTACTACAAAAACAGCAGAGATGCAGTGAGAAAAGCAAAAGCTCAGCTTGAATTGAAATTGAACAGAAATGTCAAAAACTGCACGAGAGGGTTCTACAGATACATAAACAACAGGCAAAAATAGAAGGAAAATACTGGCCCACTCTTAAAGAGGAGAGGTGAATTAGTCACCAGCAATGCTAAAAAGACAGAGGTTCTCAACACCTCCATCTTTACCAGAATTGCTGGGCTCCAGACCTCAGGAACAGCAATCCAGATTGATGCACAGACACACCAGTGTCAGTGGAGGAAGAATTGGTGTGTGCTCTGTTAAGGAGCTTGACCTCTACAGATCGATATCCACCCAAGGGTGCTAAGAGAACTCGATGGCCATGTTGAGAGGCAGCCCTCCTTGTTACAGAGATCAGGGGACATCCCAGAAGGCTGGAAGAAGGCTTATGTCACCTCATCTACAAGATGGAGTGACATTCTTGGGGTTTCCTGCTCAGGGACAGGAGTTAGATTCAATGATCCTGATTTATTCCTTCCTACTCAGCATATTCTATCATTCTATGATTCTTAGAGGAGAATCCAGGAAATTCTAGGCTCATCAGTTGTACTTCAGTCCCTGTGAAAGTTATGGAATTAATCCTCCTGGGGGTTATCACAAATAAAACGAAGCATGTGATTGGGAAAAGCAAGCATGAATTCACCAGGGGCAAATCATGCTCGACAAACCTGATCTCCTTCTATAGCAAAGGAACCAGCTCAGTCAGTGTGGGTAGAGTGGTGGGCATTGTCTACCTGGATTTCTCCAGAGAATTCAATACCATTTCCCACAGCCTTCTCCTGGAGAAACAGATGAGTTACGCTCTAGACAAGTGGTCTGTGCGGGGGGATGAGGAAGTGATTGGGACCCAGCACCCAGAGGGTGGTGGCAAATAGCTCCTTTTCAAACTGGCAGCCTGTCACAAAGTGGTTCCCCAAGAGCTGTGCAAAAACGAGGTGATGCTCCAGCACAGGCAGGGGAGCAGGATGGGGGAGTGCTGGCATGTGTGGAAAACACTTTGGGAGAAATGGGATAAAATAGTTTCAGTTGGCATGTATTTGAGTGGAGTTCTGATAACACTGTACATGTGGGGACACCACTAGGTAAGCTACGAAAATTCAGAGCACTGCATGAGCACCAAGATTTGTGCCATAAATGGCAGTTAAGTTTGCACTTTAAATTTTTTATGCAGATCACACCAAGCTTTAAAGCAGGGCTTGCAAGCTGATTTCCTGAGGATAATGTATTAATTAAGTGATCAGACTCATGAAAGCAGAGTTGATGCAGGATATAGACGCTGGCAGACCATTGCCACAGACTTGTGCAGAAGGTTGTGTAGTGCTGGTGGGGACAGGGAGGTTCAGGGTCACACTCTTTCCCTCTGTTTAAGTTTTGCCTCTGACTAACCAGCTCTGCCTTATGAAGCGTATTCCTCTTTCATATTTTGCTTTCTGTCACCCTTTTCCAGCTCAGTTTCCTCAGCTACCTGTGCTCCAAGCCTTCTCCTCTGCCAACTTTCTGGCTTTTCTGCTCTATTGGCATTTTTCCCCTTAGCCCTTTTTTTTCCACTGCTGTTTCTCCTGCCTTGCCTTTTCTGCTATGCATTTCCACTCTGGTGTTTCATTTTTTCCTGATCTGCCCTCTGTCAGTGCTCACCTCCTCGCTCCAAGCTGAGTAAACTTGTGCTAACTCCTTGCTCTGACTGCCCAAAAGTCCCAGCCAAATGAGGTCAAGGGATTCCTTAATGAAGTTCCTTGGATATCAGTTTTATGGAATAGTCTCCTATTCAGTGTATCTGGTTCTTTCATGCTTCCAAGCTTTGTTTTCCTCTTCTTGAAATGAGCCAAAACAGGATTGAAAGGAAGATGCTGCAGGGAAGGCTGTGAGGAAACCTCAAGAGACCCAGTGCTGCCACGACCTGACAGATCTCCTCAGAGTCTCATTTGATGCCTGGAAAAATCTTTGCCTTTACTCCTGTTTATTATTAATTCATCTGAATCATGATCATTAATGCAAAGGAATGGTTGTGTAATGTTCCCCTGTCAAAAGTAAATAACTGTTACACTGGTGATGAGAAAGTCGGATGTTGAAGACCTGTAGGTTAGTTTGCATAGGTCCTGTCTCCACTTAGCAGGAGGAAGCTTGTAGTGCAGCTAAAGAGGGACCCTTCAGGCTGGTTTTCCCTGGACAGGTTCCCTGGGTTTTACAGGCAGCTCCTATGCACAAAGGTTAAGATATTCCAGAGGTAAATCACTAACAGGAAGGTATGTTGGTCTCCAAGCTAATTGCCTGAAGCAAAGTGACTTGACGTGAGTCACAATCAGATGATGATTTTGTCACCTCGTTTGGACCCAATGACTGCTGCAGTCTCCCAGCTCTCCTGGGCTTCCTTTGGTCACTGGAAAACAGCTCTGACACATGCCCGGGGGCAAGATGGGATTTTCAGTGCAAGAACTGGGCAACAGCTGCTCTCAGCACTTTCCAGCAGTGAGTAACTGCTCCTGGAAATGAACGAGTGGCAGGAAACTCTTGCCTTTCTCCCGGGAAAAAAAGTGATTTCTGACGCCCCCGGGTGCCCTCTCCCTGAGTCACCACGTGGGGCTGTGGGGGGTACTAAGTGTGGTTAAGGTGAGATGCTGCGATACACGAGGTCTAACGTGTTCTTGCCCTCTCCCAGCAGTGCAGGATGTCTCCACTCCTTGCTGCCACCCTGCACAGCCTCTCTCTGTAAGCCCTGTATGCTTCCTTCTGCATCCATGCTGTCCTGCCCACCCTGACCAGTGTGTCCTAAAAAAGGTGCTTTGTGGGGTGTGCTCAAGGGAGGTATTTGAGTTTTAGCTTCCTGTTCGCTGAGCCAGGAGTAAGATTTTAACAGGGATTGGGCTATACCAGAACTGTTTGGCTGTCATTTAACTAATGCTACCTGGCTCTGGGCCACTTAAAACAAAAAGGCAGACCCCAGGAAAGAGCAGAGCATCGCTATGGTCACTGGAAAAACAAAACTGGGCCTTTTCTCCATGCAGCTCAAACAGTGCCTGGGCCTGGGGTTGCAGAGCTGTAGAAACTTCCCCCGAGTTGGTAGGTGGAGGTGTTTGTTGGGGTGTGGGCTTGTGTTTCTCCACATAGGGATGTGGAGGGGAACTGGGGGGTGTCTGTCTCATCCGGCAGTTTTGTGGTGGGGGAGAAGTTTTCACCCTCTCTGCACTGGCCGCTGCATCCGCTTCCAGGATGACAAAATCAAGGCACTGATGCCCCAGGGACCGAGGTCTGTGGGCAGGCACTGTCCTGGGTCTTGCTGTCTGGGCAGCCTGCTCTGGCACACCTAATGGAAGGGGAAGGTACTAGCCGGGTTTGGCAGCTTCAAGCTGCACACCACACTTAATCCCTGAAAATCCTGTTTGTTTAAAGGCATGAATGCAGTTTGAGAGTTCATGACTAACCAGGAAAATGAGAATAAGTTAACAAGGTATGCATTAGGACATCAGTGAGATCAAATCTCTGGATTTTTAATGACAGCAATATAATACTTCAGCCTCATGGTACAAAAGCCTCAGCAGTAGCTGATACTAAACTTGGTTTCTCTCTTGTTCAAAGAGCATGCTGTCAGGGACAAAAAGTGACCAGTACACAGCTTCATGTCAGGGCCTTATCCATGACATTGTATTGGGGAAAGGAAGGGGACTCCTTCCTAAGGATGGTAGACTCAGGAGGCAGAGGTGTGCAGAGCTTTGACATGGAATTGCTCCATCAGGCTTTCAGAACAGCTGTTCTACTTCTCAGGGTTTGCAAAATATTCCCAATAGCCAGTGAGAAACAGAGAGCTTTAATACCCTTTGCTGCAGGGATTGATTCTCATGTGAGAGACAGAATATGATTCATAAATCACCAGGCTGGCACTGGAAGGCTGCTGGAAAATCCCAGTTTAAAAGCCGTACATGTTACTGAAACAAAGCAGTCTGTGACAGCTCTCGAGTTACTCAGAATTCATGTGCATTTCCTTGTGTTTGAAACACAAAGGGGCAATTTGGACCTCAGCTCCTTCTGACAGCCACGTTGATTCTCCAAAGCCTGCAGATGTAGCAGGTATTTGGTCTGAGAGATGTGTACTTTCAACAGGCTTCAAGCAAACAGAGCCCACAGATGGGGGGTGCACGAGGCAGAACCCTTGCACTGGCACATGCACACAGTGGTTGGTTTAAACCACCTCCCTGTGAGTTGGCTGGCTCGGTGATTGGCCTGACAAATTCTCTGTGCCTTTCCCTGCTTGATTTTTCCTTAAGAAACCCCCCAAGTCTTTTTGTACATCCCGACTGGTCATGGGGAGAAGTGTTCATGATTGTCACCCTACGGCAATCCCAGTGATCGCTCTCAGTCTCGGGTGAAGGCTAAATCACCCGAGATTGTGACCAGCACCCTCACCCTCCTTGAACTTGCTTGCCTGTCTTATCCATTTGCCCAGGCAAGGACCACCTAGGCCAACTCTGCTGTCAGCACCCTGCTTGAGTCCGTGCAAAATGCAGCAGGAACCTTGAAGCCTTGCCAAGTAATGGGGCTGGTTTAGGATTTGGTGACTCATGAGTGAGGCTAAGGAAGTGACTTACAGGCTTGTGACTAGATTTTCCTTGCAGGTTTGTGCTGGCAGACAAAGAGTGAAACGTGTCTGGCCCCTCAGGCTGTGCACAGCTCACTGGCACTTGTCCAGTCACAGGTGGCCAGAACTGGAGGGGGCAAGAGGGCATCTGCATACAGCAGCAGCCCCCTGATAGTAGGGCTGTGCATTGGCTGTGGAGAGAAACAGTCTCTGCATCTCTGTGCCTGACATCTGCTCCTGATGCAAGGCTAGACCTGCCATAGGCTTTCAGCAAGAATTTGATTCAAGAAGGTTTTCTAGTTTTGTCAAGTGGCCTTGTACGATTACCTGGAAAGCAAAATATTTAATCTTATGTCCAACTTCCCTTCTTAATAAACACCTTCCTGGAATACCTTCTGACAGGTATCTAGATATCTTCTGATACCTAGAAGTGTGCATACACCACTTGTGTTTAATCATGGTTGCTGCTATAACCTTCTAACTCAGAATCATAGAATGGTTTGGGTTGGAAGAGACTTTAAAGATCATCTAGTTCAAACCCTCTGCCATAGGCAAGGACACTGTTCACTAGACCAGGTTGCTCAAAGCCCCATCCAACTTGGCCTTGAACGCTTCCAGGAATGGGGCTTCCACAATTTCTCTGGGCAACCTGTGCCAAGGCCTCACCACCCTCACAGTAAAGAATTTCTTCCTCATATCCAATCTAAAGCTACCCTCTGTTTAAAGCCATCCCCCCTTTTCCTCACAGACTACCTGTTCCTGCCTCCACTCTCCATAGGCTTCCTTTCTGTATTTTAGTTTGCCTAGGAACATCCTGTTCATCCACGCAGACCACTTGGCATTTTTGCCTGACTCCTTCTTTGTTGGGATGCATTACTCCTGAGCTTAGAATATTAACCAGCTTTCTTGGGCCCCTCTTCCCTGCAGGGCTTTATCCCATGGTATTCCACCTAGCAGATCCCTGAAGAGGCCACAGATTGCTCTCCTGAAGTCCCGGACAGTGAGTTTGCTGAGCGTTCTCCTCATTGCCCTTTGGATCTGGAACTCCCCTGCCTCATGGTCACTGCAGCCAAGGCTGCCCTTGAGCTTCACATTCTCCACCAGCCCATTCTTGTTGGTGAGAACAAGGTACAGCATAACACCTCTCCTTGTTGGATCCTCTATCATCTGGAGAAGGAAGTTATCAATGCATTCCAAGAACTTCCTGGATTGCTTATGCCCTCCTGTGCTGTCTCTCCGAGAGATATTGGAGTTGTTGAAGTCCCCCATGATGACCAGGGCTTGCGAATGTGAGGTAGGTTCTACCTGCTGCAGGGACCCTCATCCACTCTGTCTTCCTGGTCAAGCAGCGTGTTGCAGACCCCACTATGTCACCTGTCCCTGCTCTCTCTTTAATACTCCTAAGCTCTTGGTCAGCTCATCCATCCCCAGGAAACGCTCCATGCCCTCCAGCTGATCACTGATGTAGAGGGGAACACACCCTTCCTATCTCCCCCTGCTTGTCCTTCGTAAAGAGCCTGTATTCTTCCTTCCAGGAGTCATCCCAACAAGTCTTTGTGATGCCAATAATATCACAGCCCTGTTGGCACGTACATCTCTAACTCCTCTTGTTTATTCCTCATATTATATGCCTTGACTGTTGGAAGGAGCACCATTTCATGTCCCTAGGTCACTTTGCCACCTCTCTGGGCAGGGACAGTCTGGCTGCTTCTGAAGACTCGTCACATTTCTCATCAAGATGTGCAGGTCTGCCTGGAACCCCTGGGCCCCTGACAGCACAGAGGGACAGCCAGACAGATTCTGCAGAGAGAGGAGAGGGCACAGCAGTGCACTGCTCTGTCCAAGTGACAGGGGAGAGCAGACCTCAGGCAAATGGATTTTGTTCCTATGTAATTCCTGCCAGACCAGCCTTGTTTCACTTCACCTAACTACCTGGGATGTGAGAAGTTTGCTTGTGTGATGTGTTGCCTGATTTTGCCCAGTGGTTTATTCAGTCCATGTCACTTGTGCTGCAGCCTCTGGTCTTATGGATGGAAGCCAGAGTATTTACTTGCATATTTCTGCAGTAAATGAAGAAGATAAGGTAGAAAGTAGTTGATGTTTTTCAAGGTTTCTGCCTCAGAAAGATTTATAATAATGACTATTTGAGGCCAGATACTGTCACAGTTTTGAGAGTGGGACAGACCAGCTCGGGGTTCTTGCCTAGCCTGTAAATAATGTAGAGAGGGCAACAGGCAGTGGCTAACAGGTTAGGTTCACCCTGGCCGCACGCTTAGGAGAAAGACACACGACATAGTATGTGAAAACCTGAACAGCCAAAGCTGATCTCCCTGAGGCCAAGGCTGATGTGGCTGAGCTGCCTTTATTGAGACAAAATGGTGGGTTTTATAGGGCTAGGTCGGGGAAGATGCTGGAAAGGAGGTGGAGCATGCAAATCCACTTACATTGATAGGTAGGGATTAAATGCATATGCATAAGGGGACGAGACAGCAACAGGGTATGACCAGGGATTGGCTGAGCTGTCGTGGTGCTATGAACTGTCCAATGGTAGCTGACACTGGCTCCTCTGCATGCAGACCATGGCAACCACTCGCAACATGGTAACAACTGAGGCTTCAGCTCGACGAGGATTTTCTGCCTAAAAATCACCTACAACACAAACTGTTTTTTCACTACAATTATGTTGTTTATAAAATAAAAAGCTACAAAACCCATCTCCAACAAGATACCAACAAGTTCATTAAGTGAATGCCTACTTACACGAGTGAGGCTTTTCACTGAGAGAATGTAGTTTCTCATTTATGTTTAATGATTGACCTTGTCTGGAGAGCAGGCAAGAGCAAATCGTTTGTTATTTCAGTCCTCCGTTTCCATCTTGGATTATACGTTTTGCGTGTGAGGACACGTTGCAGGCAATTACCCATCTGTGTAAAGTGACCTCCAGCCAGGAGGTGCCTCACCAGTGCTTCCCTAGGCTGCAGCCCTACAGCCACGTTGTGCCACACTCCATTTCTATCAACAGCTCCTGGGGCTCAGCAGGTTTCAGTGCTTTGCCACCCAAAGAGCAATTGCAAATACACGGTGAAATGTGAAAAAGGTCCCATGTTTGGCCAAGTCCTTAGGAAGTTAGGAAATGCTTTTGCAGTGGAAAGTTTGACTGATTTCTTTGAAGGAATATTCCACACCTTTGTGTGAGTTCTGTATGAGAAAGTATATGGAATCATAAAATGGTTTGGGGGTTGGAAGGGACCTTAAAGATCACCTAGATCCAATCCCCCCTGCCATGGGCAGGGACACATTCCACTAGACCAGGTTGCTCAGGGCCCCATCCAACCTGGCCTTGAACACTTCAGGGATGCGGCATCCGCAACTTCTCTGGGCAACCTGTGCCAGTGCTTCACCACCTCACAGTAAAGAATCTCTCCCTAATATCTGATCTAAACCTGCCCTCTGTCAGTTTAAAACCATTCCCCCTTGTCCTATCACTACTACATTTTATAAGAAATTCCTCTCCAGATTTCTTGTAGGCTCCCTTCAGGTACTGGAAGGCAGCAGGTTTACCAGAATAGAGAATTTTTAATGTAAATTTTAATATAATTTGAGATTAGCCCAGGGTTCGCCATGTCACACAGGACTGACACAAAGCAAGTGCATGTTCTGGCATATGTTCAGCCTTTGGAAAACTGCATTTAGAGATTGGGGGAAACAAGTTGCTTTTGGTGAGCTAACCGTCATTATGGGTTACGGCAGCCCTTCCCAGACCACTGGCTTAAACAGGAAGGGAGAGAGACGTCTGCCCTGCCTTCAGTTTGACAAACCAACCTCGTCACAGTATTTTGCTGCACAAACCATCACCCAAAATAACTCCACGCCCATGTGTCAGTTTGTATTTGCCGTTATACTTCACAACGGGAAGAAAACTATGTTAATTACATTTTGCAGAAGAAATATTTCTCTTGCGCTTTCCTAGAATGGCCATAGGGAGATCAGTGTGTTGAAATAAAAATCCAAACAAATAAACCAATGGCTGTTTTCATTGGAAAGCCTAATTTCCACCCTGCTGCATATTAGAGTAGGGCCTATGTTGAGGACGAGATTTTCTGGAGAGTAAGAGCCAAATAAACTGCACAAAGAATTACACTGAGAAAGGAAAATGGACAGATGTTGTCACTGGTCACTTCCAGAACTACTTTCTAGCTTTTTTAATGCCTGTGTGTTTCTAATCCATTTTCCACCACTGCTTCAGCTACTTTGACCATCTTTCAGAGTTGATCACTGGGAGGAAAAATCTTATTTCCAGAAAGCCAGGAGATGTGCACAGAGCCTAACTGAGTTGTGGAAGCTCCTGTTTCCCTAGAAGTTACAGATAGGTTTGCCGTACAATAAAGCAGACTTCTTGGCCAGCAAAGTCTGAAACTGGAGCAGGGTGGCAAGCCAGTGCTCTGGGGAGGTTTTCCCAGATGGGAGCATAAGGGTGCTGGAAAAACCTCACCAGCACTGCCATCAGGGTTATCTCAGTTAAAATCAGAATACGAGTTGTAAATATCAGCACTGGGAGGGCTGGAATAAAACTGATAATTGTGGGCTAGGCTGCTGTGTTTATACATGGCTGAATTGTGTAAATAGCCAAAATAATCTTTTACCCAGAAAAAAAAAGCAATGGGAAAGCCAAAGCCTGTGCGTAATTTAATTTTTAGAGTTACAAATGGGTGGTGTAGCTAGTGTTCATCAATGTGACTTTACGGAAAATAGCTTTAATACAGAATAATCCTAGTTCAGGAGGAATAATTGCATTTGGCCAAATGCAAGCTGATAAGCTCAGTAGTGTCTGAAGTTTGTCCTCCAGCCTGATTTGTGCAGTGGGTCAGAGTAAAAGATGGTCTGTTTTAGCTTTTAAAATCCACAAATCCTCACTGTCTGGTATGTATCATCTGTACACTGAGGCGATGGACTCTTCTAGTCTGTATTACAAGTTCAGGCCTGGTAGAGTTGTTGGTTTTCCAGGAAAGATCTTCTGGGTAACCCCCTGGATAGCCCAAGCAGCTGTTCCAACATGTAGGGAGGGAGCACACGGGCTTGCTTTTGCCCATGTTAATTGCTAAGCAGGGATGGAATAGGGAAGAAAAGGAGCCCGAGCAGACAGGCTAATTGTCAGCAGGCCATATGGTGGTGAAAGGGGAGAACCCCTGCTGTTTTAAGCTTCAATTTGCAGCATCTGTGTAAGCCCACGTAAATAAAAAAAGCTGCCCTCTCTCCCAGCCTCCAGTGTGCAATCTTGTGTATGTGCACGTATAGCTGTTTTCTACTGAAATCTATGGGGAAGACTTCCTGTTAAAGATGTTTAAAACCTACAGCCAGGGAATGCAATTACTTGGCCAGGTTAATTTATTTTCTTTTCTATTTTGCCTCTGTATTTTTCCTTGATTTCCATGGCAATAATGATGGGAAAACAATGTGTTAGAAGAAATGCTAGTGTAATTGGAGTTCAGAGTCAGCTTTTGGTATCTCTTAGGCATCTGTGGGAGCACCATCAAGACAGGAGATGATAAACTAAATGAGCAAAATCTTATTGCATCAAGGCTTAGAGTTGCCTCCTTTAAAAAAAAAATATTTTCAATAGTCTTTACTCAATAACCGGACCCGATAACTGTATAATTGCTAAGGGAAAGTTTGTGGCCATACAGTGGCTTTGCAAGATCAGAGCTATAATGAATGTTATTTTTGCTGAAAATTATTATAGTCACATGCTATAACATCATTGTGAGAAGGGCAGGTATGGTAGACATGAAGATAAATTAAAGACTTCTTAAAAAAATTCTTTCTATGACAGTCGGCATTTCTTATTATTTTGATGGTACTAGTTTTTTACTTAAAATTGGAAAATCTACAGTATTCCTATGATCTTAAGACCTCCTGACAAGCCAGTGAGCATGTCTTGTAACTTGCCTGTAAAGCAGCAGTGTTATATCCCAGCAATGACACTCCTGGCACTGTCCAAAAGAGAGCCATGGTTAATACCCCCTGGATATCCCAACTGCTGTCACCCTTGCTCTGATGCTTGGTCCTGTACTTCCTCTTGTAGAAATCTGTGTCAAATGGGACTGAAGCTGTGTTACACTGCTTGCTGTCATGTCATCAACTTCCTAGAAAATAGGTAGATGAATGAATCAGCTGATCTGAAAGACTGAAAGATATACCTAAAAATGCCCAGTGTGTCAGCCTGGCTTCTTTGCCTGGAGCAGAGGGGAAAAAGATATTTGTTGGATATTTGTTGAAATTAAGCCCTCCTCTTTCTGTCTTTATGTAAGCGTGAAACAGGGGACTAGGACTGATCTCACTGGGACTTGCCATGGTCCAGCACTCTCTTTTGCTGTTATTTTTAAGGGGGTTTTGTGTGACTCAGAACTCCAGAATTCCATTTGATCCTGAAAATGGAATCTACAATATTAATTGTAGGTAGGTATGTACGTATGTTAACATATATGCGCGTTTGTGTGTGTGTGTGTATTGCTATGACTGAGCCAAGGAGAGTACAGAAAGTCTGCTCTGATCAGATTTTCAGCCTGGGATGGAACTATGCCTTGAATGTTCAGTC